CCCCCTTTCCCAGGTGGCCATGTGGGTGACAGAATCAGAGAGAGGCACAAGAAAGTTCTAGGCCTAAGAAAGTTCCAACAACCAATAATGTTTACCATGGCTCTTGAGTTGCCTCCTTTTGCAGTTGCCGTCATCTTGTACAGATTAGAGATCTAACCTGTGGTGGCAAGAAAGCAGAAGGGACTTAGTGAATATCTTTCAATAAATGTGTTAAATGAGTATGAGCTAAACAGATGGCCTCAGCCCCTAGTGAGTTCAAGACCAACCTAAGTTATGTGTGACACTGTCCTAAAAAACCCAAACTGGTGGCCTGTGTGGGTGAACTTGATCAAGATATACTAAATGTTGTTAACATGGAGTTGGTCTTAGAGTATCATTTGCTGAGCCAAATAAGTTATTGTAAATAAGTCATTAGAATTGTGATCATATCCTGAACTATTACGTGAGCAGAGTAGCTGTAGTGAAAGCAAAATCAGGATGATTCTCTTGGGTATACACCCAAAGGAAATGAGTCAACAGAAAGCAGAGGTACCAAGCTGGGCAATGGTGGCACTCGAATTTAATCCCAACACTTGGGAGTCATCGACAGGTAGATCTCTGTGAGCTCGAGGCCACCCTGGTCTACGTAGTGAGTTCCAAGACGGCCAGGACTACACAGAGAAACCCTGTCTCAAAAAACCAAAAGGTATCTTCAAGCGTTTATTATGGCACCGATATTCACAATACCTAGGTTACAGAATCAGCTTAGGCAACTGTCCAAATAAACGGATAAAGAAAATGTGCTAGACATACACAACTGAGTATTATTCAGTCATAAAGAACAAAGTTATATTTGCAGGAAAATTAATGGAATTGGGACATAATGTTAAGGGAGATAAGATTCAGAAAGACAGGTATGGCATGTTTTCTCATGCAAAACCTAGATTAGAATTAAAGACAGGAATAGCTCAGTGGTAGAGCACTTGCCTATCATTAAAACTCATGTTGGGGGGCATGAAATAGAAAAGGGACTGTTTATAAAGAGAAACCGAACAAAAGTGGATAGTGGGAAGTAAATAGTATCAAGGTTTTATGCAGGCATATAATATGATGAAACCTTTCTGTATAGCTAACATGTATTAAAAAAAAGATTAAATTTGGTAATGTAAAGAGTCTCCTTACATACCAACCAATCACAGAATTGATGGTCAATAAATACAAGCTATTCTGGCTCTTACCAGAAGTTAAAGAACTGTTTTAGCTCTCTGTCAGGGTGACAGGCACATGCCTTTAATCCTCGCAATCAGAAAGCAGAGGCAGGTGTATCTCTGTGAGTATGAGGTCAGTCTGGTCTATGGAGCAAGTTCTAGTACTTGTTGTGTATTTTTAAATGTCATCTTAAGTATGTCATCTTTCATATTTTAAAGTTCATTTTTGGTGCCCCCCCCTTCCCCTGTGGTTCCAGCTTTACATTTATCTGCTTTAAAATGTATAAAATTGTGACAAGCATGGTGACCCACACCTTTAATCCCAGTAGAGCAGGTGGATCTTTGAGTCTGGTCTGCATAGTAGGTTTCAGGATAGCCAGGGCTATGTAGAAAGAGTATAAAATTCCTTTATACATTTAGGAAACTTGTCATTTTCTGAAGAACCTACTATGCATGCCCCAAATGTGGTGATAATTTTGTTTATGAATATAACAAATAAAGCTTGTCTGAAGATCAGAGTGCAAAGCTAGCCACACTAATTAGCCATAGATGTCAGGCAGTGGTGGTTCACACTTTTAATCCCAGCATTTAGGAGACAGAGGCAGATAAATCTCTGTTAATTCAAGACCACCCTGAGCTACACAAAATTGAACCCATCTAAAAGAGAAACAGAGTTCACACAAAAGTGATCTTAGCACTTGGGATCTCACGCCTTTAATCCTAGCTCTAGAGAGGAATATAAGGCCAGAGGAGACAGGAGCTCAGTGCAGCTGAGGTTTGGTGGAGACAGATGCAGTCTGGAGATGCAGTTTGGGACAGGATGGCTCCTTCTGTCTGAGCATTGGTGGAGGTGAGAACTCTCTAGTGGTAGCCGTTTTGCTTCTCTGATCTTCAGCTTTAACCCCAATATCTGTCTTTGGGTTTTTATTATTAATACCAATTAGAATTTGTGGTACAGCTAATAAACCATTAACCTCTACAACATTTATTGGAGTAATTATTTTGATTGTTCTTATGTTCATTTTCAGGAAGGAAAAAACCAAAAAAACCTACATAGGTTCTTTATTTTCCAGAAAGCCAGGTTTGAGTTTTTGCCTATTTCTGGTTACTGATACACTGAAGCAGGGTGGTTTGAGCCCAGGCTCCAAGGCTAATCTGGGCAGGATAGTAAAACCCTGTTTCTTTGAAATGAAGTCAGACATGCTTGTTATTCCTGTGTCTTTGCCATGCCCTCTCTGTGTAGAACTCCTGGATCTTTATTTTTGTACTCAACAGTTACCTATTTAAGCCCTGAACCGAGAGCCTCCTGTATAAGTACCACTTCTATATTATGGCTTCATTTTTTTCTTTTAGTTTTTTGAGATTTTGTTTCAACAAGTTGCCTGGGCTGGGCATTGTGTTTGCAGCTCTCCTGCCTCAGTTTCTGACATAGCAGGGATTACAGGTTTGTACCACCAGGCCCAGCTTTATTCATCTTTTTATAGTTAGTTAACCCAGTGGTTCAGAGACACAGGGTTCAGGATCTTGGAAAATGCTAATCTGAAAGATGATGGGCAAGAGAATTAACTAAGCTTCCTTCCTTTGTCAAGGTTTTGAGGCAAGATCTCACTGTATAGTCCTGGCTGGTTTGACCTTGTTATGTAGATTAGGATGCCTTTAAGCTCATGGAGATCTGTCTGTCTCTGCTTTCTAACACTTTTATATTTTTTCTGCATGTTTTTTAGAATAGTTTTAAACTTATAGGAAAAAAAAAAAAAGAGCAGGTAGAATAGAGCTCTCATGTATCCCCGCCTGCTTCACCCGAATGCCCAGTATGTCATACTCTAGTGTCACGTGTCATGACATATTTGTCATTAATAAGTCAGTGTTGATCGTGTTATTATTAACTAAAGTATATGCTTTATTC